AAAAAAAAAAAAATTATTTATTAACTTGATTATCATTTTTTTTTTCGTACGCCATGTTAAACAAGTTACGCGGTTATTATTATTATTATTATTATTATTATTATTATCGTAAAAATATTAATAATAATAATAATAATAATAATAATAATTTTTAATATAAAATTTCACAATAATAAATCATTAAATAATTTATTATCGTTACAATAATAATAATATTAAATTTTTTTTTTTTTGGATTAAAGGGGAAGCAATACATTTAGCAAGAGATTTCGGTTATGTTTGTGAGACAGAATTTCCAGCAAGACAGGTAGCTGAATATCTATCTCGGCAACATTCAGATCCTTCAGAATCATACCGAAGAAAAGAATTGTTGCATGCAACCAAGTACGTTTTTCTTTTCGTTTGTACAAACTAAAAAAATATTATTTTATTAAACTTACGGATTTATTTATATCCTTTTGTTGCAGACAAATAACCAAAGAATTAATGGATTTACTAAATCAGGATAGATCTCCGTTGTGCAATACGAGGCCTCAGCATATATTAGATCCATCTATTCAAAGACATTTGACACATTTTTCACTTATATCACACGGGTTCGGTAGTCCTGCCATAGTAGCCGCACTCACCGCGATACAGGTATATACACTTACACATACACTTACACGTACACATACACATACACATACACATAACACTAAAATCACATTTCGAATTTCACTTTTTTTTTATTTTATTTACACTTCACTATTTTTTTTTTTTTTGTAGAATTTTCTTTCCGAATCATTAAAACATTTGGATAAAATGTATCCCTCTACTAATAATGGAGCTCATATTACAGTGTCATCATCCCAGGGTCTTGATACCAAACCAAAAGATTTAATCGACATGAAAAAGTGACCTAGACAGAGTTGGCCATATTAATAATAATAATAATAATTTTATATCGATTTAGCATATACATTTTTATTTAAAATATATATTATCGAATTTGGTTTTATTATTATTATTATTATTATTATTATTATTATTATTATTATTATTATTATTTAATTTTTTTATTACTGTAAATTTTATATCATTTAAATAATTTGTACATTTTTTCGTTTTTTTTTCTTTTTTTTGATATCCAGCTAATAGATTGCCGGTATCAAAAATAAATGTGACTTATCCGGGACATAAGTATAAATAATAATAATAATAATAATAATAATATATTTTATTCGACATGCGTTTTTTTTAATATAAATTTTAACAAAACAAATAATAAAAAAAGAAAAATTTTTTTTTTTAAATATATCGCTCGCATAAAAAAATTAAAAATATAAAAGAAACCGTTACGAATAATAATAATAATAATAATAATAATAATAATAATAATAATAATAATAATAATAATAATAATAATAATAATAATAATAATAATAAATTAATGTGAAATATTATTGTAAATAAATAAAATTAATTAATTAATTAATATAATTGCCCGAGTCAAAAAAAAAAATATTTTTTGTTAATTAAAAAAAAATTATTTTAATTCTTTACGATGTTATACATAAATATATATATATATACATAAAACTATAGGTAATTAATTATATATACATAAATACATAACGATGATGATGATGATGATGATGATGATTTGTTAATATAAAAACAAATTTAAATCGCAGCTTGAAATTTTTTTTTTTTTTTTATAAACGATATTAAATATATATATTATTAATTTATTAAAAAAGTTAATGATTTTGAATATTTATATTTTTTTCATAAATTTTTTTTTTTTTTTAAATTTAGCTGCGTATATCATCGTACAAAATGTATTTAATATAATAATAATAATAATAATAATAATATTGAAATTTTTATTCGGGTTTGATTTTGTAATTAATTATAAAAAAAATATATATATATTATTAATATAAATGGTAAAACGAGTTTAGAAATATAAGAAAAGAGTAAAAAAAAAAAAAAAAAAAAAATCAAGTCATCGGCTTTATTTAAGCTCTTTAATAATAATAATAATAATAATACTAAAGAATGTTTTTTTTTTGAATTGTTATTGAGTCATTTAAATACACACACACATAAACTTGGTAGAATTAAATATGTTTTAAAAAAACATGATAATAATTTCAAAAAATAAGTTAATTAATTAATTAATGTAAACTAATTAATTATTAAAAAAAAGACTTATTTAAAACTGATAAAAGTTTTACATACAAATAATTTTTAGTTATTAAAAAAATAAATAAATAAAATTAAGGTTTATGTATAAAAAAAAAAAAAAATGTTTTTCTTGCTTGCCATATTTTTTTAAAGTAACTAAAATAAAAAATAAACATAAAAAATATGTGAATAATAATAATAATAATATAAATAATGATTAATTAATTAATGCTCTCTAAAAAAAAAAAAAAAAGTCCTTTTAGAAAACTAAAAAAAATAAACAAATGAAAATTATTTTTCCTTGTTTTTTAATTAAATTATTATTATTATAATCTGTGTTAGTCAGTTTTTCTAAACTTATTTTAAATTATTTTTTATTAAAATTTTTCAAAAAAAAAAAAAAAACTTTTAATTAATTTTTAGCATATTTATAAGAATTTAAATTAATAAATTACAACAGATTTTTTAGGGTGTTTAAAACAAAAAAAAAACAAAAAAAAGGGGGAAAAAAAAAAAATTTATATATGTGTAATGAATTCGAGTGCAAATTAAAATAAATATCATGATTAAATAATAATATGTACAGGATAATTATAATTAATTGATTAGCATGAATGTAGTTTACTTCTATTGTATAAAAATGTGCCAAACAATTATTATTGCCAACTGGTATTGCCAAATTTTCTGTGTGATATATATTATCGAGTGAAATTTTTTTTTTTTTTTTTACTTTTTCTTTTTCGTTGTCTCTTACAATAGCAATTAATGACAATTTATAATAATAGAACAAAACTTATACATAATAACAAGTCATTATTTTCAACGAATGAATTTGTATTATTATTATTATTATTTTTTAAAAAATGAAATTTATATATTATTAATTAAGTTAATGATTATTATTATTACTTAAATTATTTTTTATTTAAGTGATTATCTGTTATCGACAATTATTATTATTTTTTTTTTAATTATTGTTGTATTAAATTTATTAGTTTGCTCAAATAATAAAACATTGATGATACTCATTATTTAACCTCTTCAATTGTTAAATAAATCTCAATATTAATTATTTCAATATTCATGGTTGATCGAATAAAAAAAAAAATTTTTGTTTTAATAATCAGTAATTATTTAAATCGATTGTGTTTTGCTAAATGAAAAATTTCATTTTGATTTTAAGTTTGTAAAGATGACAATGTATTGATTGTATGATTTGTTAAATTTATTAACTGTCATCAATTATTGGCTTTTTTTTTAATTTTACTTTAATCTGATGAATCTATTAGAATATCATGTAGTTATCAACTATGAGGTAAATAATTAATATTCATTGACTGTATATATAATTGTTGTAAACTTTTTTTGTAAATGTATTATATTTAGTATGAAAGAATTTTTTTTTAGCTGTGGTGTAATTTTTTTGTGTTTCGTGTACAAACAAAAAGTATGAAAAATTAAAGTTTGGTAAATAAAATACAATAACTGTATTAAATTTCTTGCATAAAATTTGTTTTCATTTCTTAATTTCAAAGAGAAAAAAAAATTTCCTTTACTTACATAATTTTTGCCATTTTGATTTTCAATGTGTAGTTCAGTACTATTTGAACTCACATAATTTGTAACTATTTCACAACAATACAATAAAAAACTTTGAGTATTACTTAAATATAGATATAAACTTTTGTATTATTACAAATAACGACGGGATAATTATCTTACTCTTATAAATATTTCACTTTGAAAATTCAGAAAAAGTTTTCACGGCAAAAGTTTCACTAAAAATGGTAAAAATCAAAATGGCGGAACACTTTTACGCGCCCAAACTTTTAATTCTCTTATTAAAACTTTAAAAATTATTTGTTATATATATTTTAAATTCAGGCAAATTTTTAATTTTTTTTTACACGATTTGATAATAATTACAATATTAAAAATTTTTTAACTGAAAAGCTTTCAAAAAAAAACTTAAATTATCTGCTGACACGAAATTACTAATTACGTCACATTACGTAATTAAAATGGAAGTTGACACGGAGAGCACGAACACATCAATCGAAGATAAAACGGAAGATTTTTGTGATAATCCAACCAGGGATGCTTTAACAGAAGGTTTAATGAGGCTTTTAAAACCTACCGTTGATCAATTAGAAGATAAAGTTCGAACTCTTAGGTAGTTGTCAAATAATATTTAAATTTTTAGAAGGATATAAAAAAATTTTATAAAAAATTTATGTTTACAGAATCAGTCAAGTAGAATTAAAACAGAAAATTGAAAATTTGTCTGAAGAATTAAAAAAAATTAATGATTCCAATTCAGAAAAGAATTTAGATTTAGATATATACGTTAAAAAACTAGTCAACATAAAAAATAAATTAACCGTAGTGAGCAACATTCTACAAAGCAGCGAAGAAAGACTATTAAAAATTCAAAAAAACATTTTAAAAGATGTTAATTCTCATAAAGCTTTCATAGAAGCTTCGAAAATTAATCAAATATCAGCGACTGAACCTGATGATTCAGCCATTCAATGAAAAATAATACATTTACCAATAAAAATGGAAATCAATGTAAAAACTCATATTTTCAAACATGCTTTAAATCGAATTATAAAATAAAAAATATTTTTATTAAATCACTATTAATTTTTTTAGAATAAACTTGAGGTTCCAATGTTAAATCATATAAAAAAAGAATATTGGGATTATGTTTATGAACCTGCAGAAGATACATTTCTATTACTTGATGCCTTAGAAAAAGATTTAGATTACATAATATCGAAAAAACCTGCCACAATTTTAGAAGTTAGTAGTACTTAAGTTGTTTTTTTTTTTTATGTAATAACGATGAATTCAGGAATGATTTATTGTTGTAGATTGGAAGTGGATCAGGTACGATTATAACGGCATTAAGCACACTCCTCAAGTCCTCTTATCATTTAGCCATCGACATAAATAAATATGCTTGCTCTGTAACAATGCAAAATTCACATTACAATAAAGTCATAGTAGATGTTATCAATACAGATTTGACATCATGTTTAAAACTGAATTGTATCGATGTAATAATATTTAATCCTCCTTATGTAGTCACTCCAAACGACGAGGTAACATATATTTTGAAAAATAACTTTCTGTAAATATATTTCAGTATTCTAATAATAATAACAATAATTAAAATTTTTTTTTTTGTTTTTAGATATATAAAGAAGATCCACTTACCAAATCATGGGCAGGTGGTGTTAACGGAAGAGTTATAATCGATAAATTTTTACATGTATTCGACAGAGTACTATCATCGAAAGGATTCGGCTACCTTTTAGTGATAAAAGAAAATCAACCTCATGAAATAATAACAAAACTAAAAGAAAAAAATTACAAATGTGAAATATACATGATTAGAAAAATAAGATGCGAAGAATTATACATAATTAAATTTATAAAAAATTTTTAAATAATTTAACAATATATACATATATATTTAACGTTAAAAATATGTAAAAATAAAACTTTTACTTATTTATTAGTGTGTATGTGTTCTCCTTGAGATATTAATACTTCCTTTCAAAAGTGTGTGAATAAAAAAATTTTATTTAAAAGGTGTTAAGGTTAATAAATTTTAATAAATATCGATAACAAATAAAAGTATTAATTTCATTTTATTCAAATTAATAAAATTATTTAAAAATTAATTTTTAGCATCTTTAAGAACAATTTAAATTTAATTAAATTAAAAATTAATTATTAACGAGCAATCCGGTCATTTTTTTTTTTTTGGGGGGGGGGAGAATTAAAATAAAAAAATTGTAATCGCGCCTAAAAAAAAAAAAAAACGTTTTCAATGCACACACACACATCTTTATTGAGCTTTCTCTTTCGTTATAACCATTATGATTTGTTTACCGGATGTGTTTTGTTTCGTAATTTTATTATAAAAACATAATAATAATAATGATATAATTATTTTATTTCGTGGTAAATTTAATTAAATAAAAATAAAAAAAGGTATAAATTAATTTTTTTTTAAGTTTGTTGAATTTTTTTCTTGCTAAAAAAAAAAAAAAAAGAAATAGAGAGAGATAGAGAGAAAGAAAGAAGGTAGTATTTATTTAATTTGAAATGGAAAAAATCGATTAATTTTTTTTATATTTATTTATTAAAAAGAAAAGAAAAATCACGTAAGTTATTAATTAAATATTATTTATTATTATTAATTTACGATTGATTATGTATTATTAATTTAAAAATGGGGGGGGGGGGAAAGATTTATACGTTTATTAAAACGTGTGGAAAGAATGTTATAGAATCAAAATAATAATAATAATAATTGTTTACTTTTTTAATAAAAAAAAAGGGGGTATTTGTTTAAATAAATTAATTTTTTTTAATACTTACTGTGTAAAATAAAACATTTTTTTTCTAATGTGCAACAACACGCCTATTTTATGATCTTGAAAAAAAAAAAAAAAATTTTTTTTTCTTTATGAAGGTTCACTGCCTAAATATAGTTTTGACATTGATTTTCTTGGACTGCATCATTGAAATTTTTTTTTTTTTTTCGACGAAATTAATCTTGTTAACTGCAAGGAAAAAAAAAAAAAAAAATAATCAGTTTTGACGTTAGTTTAGTTTTTAATTAGCTCTTGGTCGTGATTTATACGTCGCCAATATATTTATCGTACAAAGTTCATTTTAATTTTATTATGGAGTAAACATTTTTATCATTTTAGCATCTACAATATGTTACTGAATAAAAGATTTCATAAATTTATATTACCATTAAAAAGAGAATTGTTGTCTATATGTACACAACATACTGCTGCAAAAGCATCTCCAATTAATTCATTATTAATTAATCAAGTAAGTTTTGTGTTTTTTTTCATTCGAAAATTTCTTTATCGAATATATATATATATATAAAAAAAAAATTAATCGATTATAATTTTTAGTTGAAACCTGTGTTTAGATATGCAGATGATTTTTCTGAAAAATATGCATTGCATGATATAAAAGGAGAATACACTTATAGGTCTCTTTTTATCACAAGTTATAAACTTTCAAGGGAAATAAGCAATTTGTTAAATAACAAAAAAAATGAAAGAGTCGCTTTCCTATGTCCAAACGATGGAAGTTACATAATAACACAATGGGCTGCTTGGATGTCTGGCCAAATCGGTATCACTCATACTATCAATTCGAATTAAAACGGAAAAAAAAAATTACATAATTTTTTTGTAGATACTCACATGTGTGATTATTATCATTATTTATAGTTGTGCCTTTATCGAAACTTCATCCTCCTAGTGTTTTGGAATACTGCATCACAGATTGTAATGCTAAATTACTCATTACAACTTCACAGTTTTCTGACGTGTTGTCTTCCCTGAGCGATAGAGTCAAAGCGAAACTTCTCATATTAGATGATGAAATTATTAATGAAGCTGTAGTTAGAAAAGAAACTAAGACTGTTGTTGATGTTACTATAAAAGTATAATAACTTTCAGATTAATCAATCATTAATTTATTATTATTATCATCGAAAAACTAAAAGTTTAACTACGTTTGTTTATTTTAGAATCCACACGAAGCGAATCCTCCATTAACAGGAGGATTAGATCCTGAATTTTATCAAAATAGTGATGCAATGATTGTGTACACATCCGGAACAACTGGAAGTCCTAAAGGTTATACATACGACAAAAAAAAAATTTAAATTCAAATTAATATAAATAAAAAAAATGTCACCTCAATGTTTTTCCTCAGGTGTTGTTTTAACACATAAAAATCTTCATTATCAAGTACAATCCATGATAACAGCTTGGGGATGGACTTCAAAAGATGTTATCCTTCACACATTACCTTTACATCACGTTCATGGAATTGTTAATGCTATCCTTACTCCATTATCAGTTGGTGCTAAGTGAGATACATTTATTTTTTTTTTTTAACAGAAAAAAATTTAAATTAAAACTTTAATTAATTGATTTTATTATTACTCCAGAGTTTTCATGCTGCCAGAATTTAATTGTAACGACGTTTGGTCAAATTTATTATTAATAAAAAAAGCTCCAGGTGATAAAATAACAATATTTACCGGCGTTCCAACAATGTATACAAAATTAATTGAAGAATATGATAATTTATTTCAAAATAATAAAAGGCAATGTGAATTTATTAAAACGGTACTATCTCAAAAAGTAAGGTGAGAAAGAGAGAGAGGACGTACCCTTAACGTCATCATTAGAGAGAGTGAGAGAGAGAAAAAACATTTTAATTCGACGTTAATTTTAGGCTGATGATATCGGGATCGGCACCATTACGACCTCAAATTATAGAAAGATGGAGAGAAATATCCGGGCATACGATACTCGAAAGATATGGAATGACGGAAACGGGAATGGTATTGAGTAATCCATTGAACGGAGAAAGAAAACCGGGATTTGTGGGACAACCTATGCCAGGAGTCGAAGTTAGAATCGCTTCGAAGGATGATCCGGAAAAAGTAATGATCGATGCAAAAAAAAAAACCGTTGGAAAAATTTAATTTAATTTATGGAATCGTTAAAAATCATTTTTTTGTCATCACGTTATTTAGATCCTAGTCGAAGGGAATTCGAATTCCAGCACAGTTCTAACAACAACTCAAAAAAATTCAGATGTTAAAAATATAACTGGAGAATTACAAGTGAAAGGACCGAACGTTTTTCGAACTTACTGGAACAAACCCAACGCAACCGCCAAAGAATTCGTAGCCGATGAATGGTTTAAAACAGGTTTGTTAATCCCTAAGGATTTTGATAATTTCCCTCCCCCCCCACTCACCCACTTTTTTCCTCCAACAGGAGATTTCGTCGAATACGTTGACGGTTCGTATAAAATGTTAGGAAGAACAAATGCTGATATTATTAAGACTGGAGGATTTAAAGTAAGCGCTCTCGAAGTCGAATCCAAACTCATTGAACACGAAGACATAAAAGATGTCGCTGTTGTCGGAGTTCCAGATTTAACGTGGGGAGAAAAGGTTTGTGGGATTTAATAGAAAGGAAGAGATGGGGGGCAATCTAAACGACTCGTCTTTATCTTTCCTTTTTCTTATTCATTCCCAGGTCGCAGCCGTTTTAGTTCTAAAGTCTGATAAGAAATTAAGTTTGGCGGATTTGAGAGGTTGGTGTAAACACAAATTGGCACCCTATGCCATACCCACCGAATTGAAAATTGTCGACGTCGTACCACGGAATCACATGGATAAAATCAACAAGAAAGATATACTAAGAGATATATTCAAAGTGAAACAAAACAATCCGACCTGATCCCCACCACCCACCTCCCCATCTTTTCTCTTGTTTTCATCCGCAGCTAAGTAACGAAACGCTTCTGGAAAAATACACATGAAAAAAAAAACTAAAAAAAAAAAAAAATGATACTTTAAAAACTAATGATAATTATTATGATGATGATAATGATAATAATAATAATAACACATTTATTTCCGATATTTTTCCATTCTTTTTCTTTTCTCCATTTTTTTTTTTTTTTTTTTTTTTTACTTTTTAATTTCTATCGTTATATTATTATTATTATAAGCACGAATATTAAATAAAAAAAAATTTTTTTCTTTTTTAGTTTTAGTATTATTATTATTATTAATATGATTTCCATCGACGTCATCAACAATAATAAACAAACAGTATGACTGAAAGGAAAATAGCAAAAAAAAAATCTAGAAAAGAAAAGCATCATCATAAGTTAAACAAAATAATTTTTTTTTTTTTTTTTTGCGGTTTTATTTTTTGTCTTTTAACAACAACAAATTGATTGTTTTCGTATACAAACAAACAAACAAAAAAAAAAAAAGTAATAAATGCACTGCTTGAAGTCTTTTTGTTTTTCATCCTGTAAAATAAAATTCGACGAAAAGGAAAAGGGGGGAAAACAAACAAAAAAAAATTAAAAATAAATATAAAACAGCAACAATATAAAAACGAGAGAGAAAATGGCGGCGATATTAATATGATAAAAATAAATTAAAAATTAAAAAAAAAAATTAAAAATTATTTGACATTTGAACAAACGGAGACAAACCTCTGGAAAAAAAAAAAATAAACAAAACAAATATTCGCTCACTCACGTACAAACGCATTTAACCACGCCCCCTTCCATCCTCCTTCACTTCAACCCACCCCCTCCCCCGCCCACATTTGTTTTCATACTCACCTTCAAATGGAAATTTTGTTCCTCGGGTCAAATTTTTCTATTTTTCTTTTTTTTTTTGTGGAGGAAAAAAGCACAATAAGTAAATAATAATAATAATAAACGTATCTTCCTACCCCCTCGCATAAACCCTGTCAAAAGAAAAAAAACAAACGAACAAACGAAACGGTCAAAAACAAACAATAAAACAAAACATTTTAAACGACATTGTAATCATCATCATTATCTCAAATAATTTAATAAAATTAAAAAAAAAAATTAGAAAGTCGTTGGACGCGCAATCGGTCGGTCGTCTTCCGGCATTTTCCGCACTACTCCAAACGTCATGGAAAAAGAAAACCTAAAACCCTAAAAAAACATTCTTCATCATCATCATCATCGTCGCCACCAATCACCAATCAATCAATCAATCACAAACCTAACAAATTTCGATGACGATGAGTGACGACATCCGTGACAACAACAACAACAATAATAATAAAAATAATAATAATAATAATAATAATAATAAATACCATTTAATAACGAAAATGAATCATATTAACCTTTCCTATGTTTCATACAAACAATCATTAATAATTAATAACAACCGGAAATGACCGGGAAAGCGATTGATAAGGGGGGGGGAACAAAACCGGAAAAACAAAATCGGCAAAAAAACCAATTAATTTTTTTTTTTTTAAACGTTACGAGATAATCAGTGCAATTCGTCGTCTTTCGTACAAAAAAAAAAAACATTATCATCATTTTATAAATAAATTAATAAATAATAATAATAATAATAAATAATAATGATAATAATAATAATGATACAAAATAAAGAACAATAATAAAACAATAAGACGAAGAAGATGAAGAAGAAGAAGAAAACATTGCGATTGTTTCCGAATTTGCGAGCTTTCAATCGAGATTTGAAAAAAAACCGATAAATCGATAAATCGATATATCGGTCCTTATCTCGATTTATCGAGAAGATATTTTCTCCTCCCTTCTTCTTCTTCTTCCTGTTTTTTTTTTTCCTTTTTTTTATTTCAAAAAAATTTTAATCCACTTTCATGTGTGTGTTATCATCATCATCACCGTGCAATTCATTTACGTCATCATCATTATCATCATCATCACCGTGCAATTCATTTACGTCATCATCATTATCATCATCATCGTCATCGTCATCATCGTTATTATTATTATTATTTGTTTTATTTAAAAAAAAAGAAAGCGAATCGGACTCTCTGATGATGATGATGATACAACACATCATCAATGGATTAAAATTTATCATGTGATAAACATTAGAAAACAAAAAAGAAAAAAAAACGATAATAATAATAATAATAATAATAATAATAATAATAATAACAATAATAATAATGACAATATCCGTTTGTTTAAAAACAATAAAATATCATCAAGATTTTCGAAACGTTCGAATCCTAAAAAAAAAAAAAAAAAAAAAAAATGTGTTGCGTCGCTGGAAAATTCTTCTCCGTATTTCGTCGCGTACAAATATTTTGTCCAAATCACAAACTTCTCCAAAATCATTTTTATTAATTAATTAATCAATCAATCAATCAAAATTTTTATTTTTCGCTAATAAAAAATTCCTAATAAAAAAAAAAAAAAAAAAAAATTAAAATTAAAAAATTTAAACAATCGGCAAAAAAAATATTAAACGTTTGTAATATAGAACGAACAAATTGTAACAAACAAACAAACAAATAAACAATCAAGAAAAAAAAGATTTTTTTTACTTAATTTAACGGATTTTATACCAAATAAATAATTAATAATAATAATAATAATAATAATAATAATAAAAATTACCTTTTTGTGCTCCGATAAATAATTCGTCGTCTCCGTTGATAAAAACAAACAACAAACACTCTCTCATCCTGGAGAAGAAATCTTCCCTATTAAAGTATTATTATCATTCCTACAAATCCTATTTTAATTCACATAATAACAAAACAAACGAAAGGAAACAACATTTTTCAAAATGGCGACGGAAAATTTAAACAAAAATCCAGGGAAAAGTCGTCAAAACTTTTTAAACTTTTTTTTTCCAAAAACCGTTTTATTCATTCGCCCTTCCTTCCCTCTTCCCCCCATTAAAATTTATCACGTATATCTCTTCCTTTAATTTCCTTTGTCACCCCTCCCCTGCGCGCCGCCCCCGCTCCCAACGTAAAAAAAGTCTTTCGCGACAATCCCAACACACAACACATTATTAATACATAATCGTGACGTCATTCGAAACGGGGAAATTTTCAAAAAAGGATTTAAAACCGTTACGAAGGGGGGGAAACTTTTTTCACTTTTTTTACAAAATCACGGTTAACAACTTAACAAAAAAAAAAAAAAGGGGGGGATAATTATCAATAATAATAATGATAATTTAAAATCTCAAAAGGAAAATTGGTTGGTTAGTAATTCACGTGAGGGCACGTAAAAAAAAACTCATTCCCCCCTCCTCCCTCCCTCTGCTACCCCAGTTAATGGATCTCCCACAATTCGTACAAGCGTCATTGTTGTTGATGACGTCATAGTTGCTCACGTACAAAAAAAAAATTGATTATACGAATTTTTTTTTGTCCTGGAGAGAGAAAGACAGAGAATGGCCTCGCGTTTCACACCTGAAATTTTTTTTTTTATTTTTTCCTATCGTAACAAAACAAAAAAATCAAAATTCAATGGCTGTAAAAATAGTCGTAAACAGGATGTGCAACAAAACAAAAATGAAACAAACAGACAAACAAACAAATAAACGAAAAAAAAAATCAATCATTAATATCAAAAAAAATTTTTTTTTTTTTTTTGTTTAAAATCATTATTTATATATATATGTATGTATATCTACGTTTAATACATTAAATTAAAAATTATTATTATTATCATTACCACAATTACAACCGTCAAATTTAAAAAAAAAAAAAAAAATTTCCATCATCATCATCATCGTCATCGTCATCATCCTTATCATTATTATTATTATTTTTTTTTTTTTAAAGGGGGGTGGGAGGGTTTTTAACGAATGACATTAATCCAATCGTCACGTATTGAACGAAAAAAAAAAAAGATTAATAATAATAATAATTTTCTTTCATTTTTTTTTTTTCAAAAATTATCATTATCATTATTATTTAATCAATTAAAAATAATAAATATATATGTATACGTGTATTTAAAAACAAAATAATAATAATAATAATAATAGAAATTAATAATTATTCGGCCGAACGAACCGAACAACGATTGTTATAATACATAACATAAAAATAAATAATAATCCTATGCAATTTAATATTAAAATTTAGTGTTAATATTATTATCATTATCATCATCATCATCATCATCATTATTATTATTATCAAACGATTTTGGTTTCAAATATTGCATGTCCCCCCGTATCGATCGATTTCAAACGCCGCCTTTCTTCGATCGCGAAAAAAAAAAATTATTTAATGATAATGATAATGATAATAATAATAATATTAGTAATGGCGGTGTGAGATTCGGCAGGTGTTTTTATATTTTTTTCCCTTCTTTCTCGCACACACACGCACCCACACACATTCTCTCTCTCTTTCTCTCTCGTACAAAACTCACACGTTGAACTTCATTTAACATTAATAAACTATAATTGTACTTGCCAGTCAGGAAAAAAAAAAAAAATGTAAAATAGGAATTCCAGCATAAAAAATAATAATAATAATAATAATAAAACATATTTAAAAAAAAATAATAATAATAATGACAATAATAAAAATAGGAAAAATAATATAAAATAATTAATTATTTCGACGACGATTGCACATACACACTTAGGCACAGTCAATCATTCACGCACACGCACACAGTGGTAAGTTATCATCATCATCATTTCTGTACTATACATAAAAAAAAATATATATATATATATACGTAAAAATAGTCACAAAACGAAGACGAAAAAAAAAAAAAATAATAATTAAACATGGACGACTCTTCTCTCTTATTCAATGATCATCATCATCATCATCATCATCATCATCATCATAATCTGTAAAGTAATGTTATAATTTTTTTTTATGGTTTTGAGAGCATATTATGCGAATACAATCACAGATCCTAGTCATTACGTATGAGATCAAAACGGTTCAATGTTTTTTTTTCAATTAATCGATAACATAACACACAATATTAATAAATTAATTAATTGATTAATAATAATAATAATAAAAATATATGCATACGCTTGTAAAAAAAAAAAAAACTCTGGACAAGTACTGTATTTTATATTGATCTCGGGTATTTTCTTTTTCCGTTCCGATACTTAAATCATCAAGTATCATCTATTGTGATTGATTGATTATTTCATTTGCTCCCAAAGTTAATAATAATAATAATAATAATAATAATAATAATTCACGCGGGTTAGTCGGTCATCAATTTCAATTCGTTCTCCTCCCCGCACAGCGTCGCTACAATTGATCTCTTTCTTTCTTTTTCATAACCAATCGAAAAATAATAATAATAATAACAGTAACAATAACAATAATAATAATGATAATAATAATAATAATAATAATAATAATAATGGCGATTCAAAGCGATGGCGTGTGATGGTAATTAATGTTGATAATCATTTTGGAGTAGGTATTAATTAATAAAACGTTTTCAAAAATAAATTAAATTAAATAAAAAAAAAATTAAAAAAAAATGTGCATTTTTCCCTTGATATTTTCACGTCTACATATCTGTAGATAAACAAAACACTATATATATATATATTAAATATATATATATATATATGCAGTCCGAAATACTGAATGAGAGCGCCACAAACAATTGTTACCCAAAAACAACAAGATGGAAGATTTCGACAAAATATATATATATATATATATTTTTTTTTTTTTTTTTTTTTAAAATTATTTCTTGGAAGTTGAATGTCTGACATCTGAAAACAGACACAAAAAGAACACAAGAACAAAACTGACAATACCATTGTAAAAAAAAAAAAAAAAGTAAATAAATAAATAAAGTAATTAATTAATTAATTAATTAATAATTAATAATATTGCTGTAAAAAATTAACAAACATTTTATAATAATAAAATCAAGTAGAAAAAAAAAGCATTTTTGTTTTTTGTTTGTTCAATGTTAAAAAAACAACAACAACAACAAGACCATAAAAATAATAATAATAATAATTAGCTTTTTTCTTCTTAAAATCCCTTCCATAAAAAAAAAAAAATTAAAAAAAAAATTTTAAAAAAATTGTTTGTATGTAAATGTGTATAAAGAGAAAACTATTTGTGGTGTAACGGATGAATTGCATTATTTAATAATAATAATTTATATAAAATGTATTACACCCGTTTTCTCTTTATTCCCGTTAAGTTTTATTATTACTTACGAACACGATTTTAATTTTCCGAACCACCTTGTCCATATCCTCCAGGGTATCCCGGATAGTTACCATATGGAGGTCCTTGACCAGGAGCTCCGTAATAAGGAGCCGGATTTCCTTGCTGCTGAAAAAGAAAAACATTTTGTTTATTTTTTATTTTTTTTTTAAATTTAACAAAAATTTTTAAATTCGATAACCCTACCTGAAAACCACTAAACTGATTGAACTGAGCCGGTTGTTGAGCTGCAGTTGCCATCATTTGACCCGGTTGCTGTTGAGAAGGCTGGGAAGGTGCTTGCGGATTTACTGTAGCCATTCCTCCTGCAGCCTAATTCACAATAAAGAATTGAAAAAATAAATAAATTAATTTCGATGTAATCATCAACAATTTCTTCATTCTATAATTACCTTGGCTTTAATTTGAGCTTCTATTGCTTCTGCTTCCTTAACTTTTCCTATAGACCGATAATACTCTGCCCACTGGGCGCTGTAATCTGGTTGTGCTCCATTTGCTTGTGGGTTTCCAGCCGCTTGTTGAGCCGGCGCTGTGGCATTCATATTTTGCGTGTTTGAACCTGGCTGAGCCGGATTTGCATTGCCCATCATCTGAAATATAGTTTTTTCCTCATTTAGTTTCCTTTTTAATTACGAAAAAAAAAAAAAAAAAAAAAAAGTAAAATAAAATAAAATTTCCTGACCTTGTTACTTTTAGCTTGCTGCTCTATCATTTCTGCTTCTCGCACCATTCCTATGCTTCTATAATATTCTACCCATTGAAGAGTGTAATCTGGTTGACCATTGACTGGATTGATTGGAACTTGAGATTGATTTGACTCCGCCCCCGCGGATTGTACTACTCCACCCCATTGATAACTATTTGAATTGGGTCCGCCCCAGCCTTGAGGTTGAAAACCTCCTTGATTGGGATAAGCCGTAGAAGTAATAGGAAGTTGATGATGTGAATTATTGTTTCCGTTTCCTCCCGAATTACCTCCACCTCCACTTCCCACACCGTAATAATCTTCCTGAATTACAAATTATAAATAAATTGATTTTTAAAAAAAAATTGTTTACTTTTCGAAAAATAATTAAACTCAAAATACTGCAACTCACTATTCCACTGTATTCAATAATTAGCCTTTTAGCCTCTTCGATTTGTTCAGGGGTTCCTCTAATTACAAAAACTTTTTCGGCAGGATTCACACTCGATAATTTCCTGTCTATTTCACAATAAGCTCCACATTGAGCATTAATTTGTTTAATTTTTTCACCTCCTGTATATTGAAAAAAAAAAAAAAAACATTTAAAGGAAAACCTAATAAAGTAACCTGATAAAATTAATCGTCGCGAATGATAAAAGTTTACCCTTTCCTATTACGAATCCCGCCCTGTTAGCTGGAACGGCAAATGTTATTTCATTGCGCTCAGATCTATCCCTACTATTCCACCTCTCATTTCGACCGGCTTGCCTATCGAAATCTCCTGCCGATTGACCTCTTCTATCCCTATCATTCCGATCGTTTCTACCTGTTCGTCCAGGCTCTCTTCGATCATCCCGCCTCTAAAGAGAGAAAAAAAAAATTGAATAAACAAATTTATTTGAGCTTTAAGAAATTATAATCGTTTTGAAACGTACCTGCACGCTATCTATTAATTCTATAACCTTTTCTCTGGCATCTTCACATTGTTCAGGTTTACCCGTTAATATACATTTCCTATCTCCAGGTCCATCGTCTCTACCTTGCTCAAACTGTAATTTCGCGCCCGTCGAACTTTGAATTTTTTTAATCATTTCTCCTCCTTTACCAATAACCACACCAACAGCTGCACGAGGCACCAGTATCTAAAATTTTAAATTAACATTCAATTAATTAAGACAATCAGGTTTTTTTTTTTCTCCAGAAATTTTTTATAAATTCATATATTCGTACCTCGATGACGCCTCCGCCAGGTTGAGAATTATTGTCAAATTCATTACTAAAATTATTGGGTCCACTAGGAGGACCTGCGCTATTAAAGTGACTTCTGTCGGCTCTATTTCGCCTGTCGCCGCTTCCTACGTCTTTATCAGCTATCATTTGGTAAACTAAGTCTTTTGCGTGCTAAAATTTAAAAAAATAATAATAATAATAATAGTTGTTAAATGACTTTTTTCTGAAAACAAAATTAAAATTGGGCGAAATACTCACATCAACTTGTTGTTGCGTGCCTGTTATTCTTAACGGTTTTTCATAATCTTGAGAATTTGAATCTTGTACAACTACCATTCTAGCTCCAGTCGTGTCTTGAAGATGTTTTATTGTTTCACCCCCTTTCCCAATAACAAGTCCCACCTTAGGACCAGGAATCATAATCTCTGCCTGTAAATAAAAAAAAAGGAAATCCATTATAAAAATCAAATGAAACATTTTCAATCTTTGAAAAAAAAAAAAAAAAAAAAATTAAAACATATATTTACAAATGCTTGGCCTTGAGGAACCGAATTTTGATTTTGGTGAAATGGCGGATGTGAAAAAGAATCATTTCCATTATTATTATTATTCCCACTACCTCCACTACCAAAATTTTCATTTCTAATTAAAGTCGAAACTATATTCATAACCATTTCTCTAGCACGACTGGAAAAAAATTTTTTTTTCATTTAATAAAAGGATAAAATATGCACATACACATGGATAAAAGTAATAAATAATGCTCACTTTATAGCCTCTCTTGTTCCAGTTAATGTACACTGTCTTTCCACTGTACCTCTCGACCTCTCCATTTGTATTTTACAGCCCGACTCAAATTGTAGCCTCGTTATTTGTTCTCCTCCCCTTCCTATGACTGTAAAAAATCAAAAATTTCTTATGAAGTATAATTATAATTAATTATTCAAGATTTTCACAAATTATTTATTGAACTTAACTTGAAAAAAAATAAATAAAAAGCATAACTGATTTAATGGTCAAAATGTAAAACTTACTTAAACCGACAATTTTGTCTGGCACCATTATTTCTTCACTGAATACCCCTTCATTTGAAAAACCTGTTCCTGCAGATGATGCAGGCCTTGACTGAGATCCCCCATGTGTTCCAGATAAAGAAAATTCTCCTCCAGTTTTAGCATTTTCTTACTTTCTGGTTCTAA